GGTCAAGTGTGACATATCTGGTCTTAATATATTTGACCTTATAATTTCCAAAGTACTCTCACATTTAATTCTTACAACTCTTTAAACTGTTTTAAGGTTGAGTTCTGTCAACTTTATACATAAGAAACTGGTAATTACAGGCCAATAGGCTAGCCTAGAGTTGTATATTGTTGTTGTTATTAATTGCTTTCAAGTCAGTTCTGACCCATAGTAACCCTGCATAGAGTTTTTGAGGAGCAGCTGGTGAGCTTGAACTGCCAACCTTGAAATTCAAACGGCTTTGCAGTCTAGCACATTAACCCACAGTGCCACACCGACAATAAAAAAGATTCCATATCATTGGGTGAGGATACTCTCTAATAAGATGATAACTAGATTCCTAATTAGAGTCCGACAGTTCTTGGGTGGCGTAAACTGTTCATCACTGGGCCAGTAACAAAGTTTGGAGGTGGCAACCCACCCAGAAATGCCTCAAACCCTGACAAAGGCACCTCAGAAGATAGATTTGGTCATCTGCTTCTGAAAGGTCACAGCCTTTAAAACTCTGTGGCTCAGTTCTACTTTGTACACAGGGTGTTACCATGAGCCAGAATCCACTGGATGGTAACAATCAACAACACTAAGGAACCATAAATTCTTGATTTCATTATAAAAATACAATGTGTTGTTGTGCCTTGTTATTGTTTTCATTGTAAATGCCTTGAGGAATTACAGCCCATCTTATTCCATGTATGTATCTACTCTGAACATCAGAATTACACATTTAAAATAAATTAATAGAAGGACTTGATCTCATAGAAGCCCATTCAGCTGTAAAAATGTCTGATTCTGTTAGGAATACTTACCAAGACGAATGCCTTTCTTTCTCCCACTTTCTTACAAAACTACTGTCAGCCTCAGTTCATTTTCTAGTGGGAAAATCAAGTATTACACTTAGAGACAAAAGTACTGATTTTGTTACAACATTTATCAGAATCCATTTGGTAGAAATCTTCTGTATTCATCGTAACAATATCTGCCTCCCATAAGGAAGGCTTTGGTTACTTGGGAGAATTAACAGCTTTTTTATACTTTTCTTTGAGGTGTTTGAGATCATCATCCTGATGACACATTACTTACAGGAACCTGTACTCTCATGTCTAAATCTCAGAGGGAAAAGATGCATGAGCAATTAAACAGTTCTAATCAAGAGCTGGTTAAACACAAGACAAAATAATCTTAAAGATGTCCCAAAGGAAACATATCTTGGCTTTCAGAGTGGTAGATTATTAAATAGAAATTTGGATTATAATATTTATTACTTAATTTTAATTAATTAGCTCAAAGCAATTTATCAAACAAATGTTAGAATATTGTATGTAAAGGGAAGATTCAATGATCAGGTAGGAAGCAAACATATATTTAGACATTCATTGAGAGAAACAAAGTTCCTGAAATTCAACAAATTCAAAGGAGAACCAACTGTGAATGAATGATATGTGCTATGAATTCTTTTTATCTGTGTTTAAACTGAATGCTGGCCATGCAAAAATGCAATAGATTAGAAAGTCTTCATTGAAATAACACATTCATGCTATTCTTACTATGTACCAGATACTCTTTTAGTCACAAAACAGACAGGAGGAGGATTACCAGGACCAGGCCATAAAGATGCTGGTCAATTACAAAATCTTGAATAAAAAAGAGTGAAAAAATAATATAGGCAATATCATAGTGATTCGAAAGTCTGTGGAAATCTTAGAGAATTTAAAATGCGATATAGGGAGAATATGTTGTCATATGAAGAAAGATATGATAGGAAAGATGTATTTGATTTAGACTTCACGTCTAAATCTACTTGAGTCTAGTCAACACAGAGAAGTTCAATATTGAAGGATCCTGTGATAAGAGTGAGCTTGGTGTGGTGCTGAAGAATAAGCACTGGACTGCTATCAGCAGGGTGGTTGGTTCAAAGCCACTAGCCACTTCTCCAAAACCCTATACAAGAATCACTATGATCCAGAACCATCTCGATAGCACTTGACAATAGGAACATGGAAAGACAAGAACTCTAGTACATTGATACACTAATTCAGTGGTTCTCAGCATAGGCCAGTCAAAAAGGAGAGAAAGGGAACTGCTGACATCTAATGAGTAGAGGTCAGGGATGCTGCACAACATCCTACTGGGTAGAACACACAGAAAATAATCGTCTGGCTGAAAATGTCAATAGTACCAAGGTAGAGTAACTGCTCTAGTGGGATTTTCAAAGGTGAACATTTTCAGTAAAGTTTGTATTAAAATACAGAATTCTCAGGTAATAGGAGAATTCATTTAAACCATATGAAATTCAATGTACCATACTTTCATCTTATATGCAGCATAACTCCATTATTTCAGCTAGTTTTTATTTATGTAATTGAAATAATAAATAAAAACTGTTAGTATCAGGGATGCTAGAATATTTCTGAATGGTTAACACATAATCCTTTCCCCACATAATCCTTGCCCCAAAAGGTACTTAGGTTCTTTTTAAAGTAATGTTAATAAGATGGATTTCTGTGAGCTAGGTCATACCAATCCCGTATTTTAACATACACATGCATGCAAAATATTGTAAAGACAAGACAGAGAGAAATTCGAAGTTGCTGGCACGGAATATTGGAGTGATGTATTCACAACCAAGGAAACCAAGAAGAAACCAGAAGCTGGAAGAGGCAACGGGCCAATTTTTCCTAAGTGTTGTCATTGTTATTAGATGCCATTGAGTCATAGTCACATTATATAGGGTTTCACAGATGCATCTGATGGGTTTGAACAACACATCTTGTAGTTAGCTACAACATAAGTACTACAGCGCTTATCCTACAATGCCACATCAGGACTCTCTAGAGAGAGTGGGACACTGTTAAAACTTAGATTTCAGTTCAGTGACACTGAGTTCAGATTTATTGCCATCAGAAGCATGAGATAATACACTTATGTTCTTTTAAGCTAACAACAGTGTGATAAAATATGTTCAGGAACCAATACAATGAGTGCGTTTTATGAATGTAAAAACTGGTTAAAGCAATTTTAAACAAAGCAAAACCACATTAACAAAGACAAAGAGACTTGAAAATGATCAGACATCAAATGTGTGGTGTACTTGTTTAATCACGGCTTACAGAGAAACTCAGAGCAAAAGCAATAATAACAGCAGTTGATATATTAATCAAATATGTACCATTTATAGCATCAAGGATTTGAGTCATTTTTTTTTTTAATTTCCAAGATAATGTTATGAGGTACCCAACTAGTTGTCTTTGAGCTGAGCCCCCTACTCCATGTTTGTCAGAGTAGAACTGACATGGGCTCTGGGGGGTGGAGGGTCCTCTCTTTGTTGCCTCTGAAGTACTTGTCTTCTGTGTAGGGTGACTATGATTCAAGGACTTGTTTCTTTGGGCTCTGTTCTTGAGCAATCTTCATGTAACTTAGCATCTCTCTTCACCTATCTCTACTAACTTCCCTTAGTTAGCCTCTCTCTCTCTCTTTCTCTTATTTATTAACTTACTGTGGTTTGGGTAGAAGCTTACAGGCAAATTAGTTGTGTACTGAACAATTTAAACACATTTTTTTTTCATGGCATTAGTTGCAATTCCCATGACTGACTGATGTAAGCCACCTTATTTAACCTTCTGTTCTATAGAAGCACTGCTTAGACACTGTGCTATGTACGTTTTCATGGGCTGATTTTCCAGAAAGTACACCTTTAGGCCTTGCTTCTGAAGCATGCTTGGGATGACTTGAACTTCCAAACTACTGGTTAATAGCTAAGTTTCTTAATATTTGCACTACCCAGGAACTCATGAGGTAGGTGGTGGTGGTGGTGGTTGATGTTTGTGTGTCACCAAATCAGTTCTGACTCCTAGTGGCCCTGGACAGGGTTTCTGAGGCTATAAATCTTTACAGGTGAAGAAAATCACATTTCTCTTTCACAGAGCAACTGGGAGATTTAAATTGCTGACGTTTCAGTTAGCAGCCCAACTCTTAATCCACTGATACCAGGGCTCCTCTTGAAATCGGTAGATTATTACTACTGCTTTAATTTTACAGATGAGGGAGTATTTTATTTTGTTTTAAGTTGTAAAACTAATAACATTGTAATAGAAATAGTAGTAAGAGAAAACAACCAAGATATGACTAAAAATTAATTCCCATAAAGACATGAGAAGTTCATTTCAAATTTACAAAGAAGGACATCAAAAAGTTAATGGAAAAATGGAGATAAAAGACAATGGAATTTTTCTACCAACTTTTTGAAGCCCCTCAAATATTATGAGACAAATATAGTTTCATTCCCTGGAGAAAAAAAAAAAAAAAAAAGAGTAAATTGAGTAAGACTGGCTACATGCATTCAGAGCACAGAAAGACTTGACTCTATCTGTACTTTGTTAGAAATATATTGGTATAATTACAAGCCAAAAAATTGAGGCTTAGCAGTATCATTCACCAACCCAATGGAAACACCCAGAAACTAGAGAGCAGCAATTAAAGTAGTTGATGCATTTAAACTATGGTCTATGTATTTCTAGAAATTTTAATAGACGTCTAGAAGGATATTAGTTGTTGTTGTTTAAGTCTCAGACAGTCCGTGCTGACTCACAGAGACAGAGACGAAACCTTGTATAATGTTTCCAGTGAGTGGCTGGTGGGTTTTAATTGCCAAATATGTGGCTAGCAGTCCAGCGATTACCCTACAGTTCCACACCAGCACTCTAAAAGGATATGGTTGTTATTGCTGTTAAGTATTGTCAAGTCAGTTCTGACTCATAACAACCCTGTATAGGGTTTCTGAGGAGCAGCTGGTGAGCTTGAACTGCTGACTTTACAGTTCCAATCAACCATGCAGTCCAGTGCATTAACCTGCAGCAGCAAAAAATCATCATAGTACATTAATATCCTTCCTCCTTTTCCATTACATCCATTACCACCAAATACAAATAGCTTCTTAATGGTACCCTTTGAAACTCTAAGAATATCTAAGAACATGAGCCGTCAGAAAACAAGTTAAATCTCATCACTTTCCTGAGAGCTTCTTTCACATCTTTGTTCCTCAGGCTATATATCAGGGGGTTCAGCATGGGAATTACCACAGTGTAGAATACTGTGGCCACTTTGTCTGTGTCCCAACTGTTGCCAGAGCTGGGTCGACAATAAATAAAAAGGATTGTTCCATGAAAGACAATGATGGCTGTGAGGTGGGAAGCACAGGTAGAAAATGCTTTGCGCCTTCCCTCTGCAGAGCGCATCCTCAGGATGGTGATGAGAATAAACAAGTAAGAGGTGAGGATAACCACAATGGAGCTGATCTCATTGAAAGAGGCCACAACATACAGCAGCAGCTCATTCACAGAGACATCAGAGCAGGCAAGAGATAAAAGAGGGGGTAGATCACAGAAGAAGTGGTTGATCACATTTGAACGGTAGGTTGGGATCTCCAGAGCTAAACACATGTGAATGAGAGAACACACAGTTGCACATAGGTAGCAGCCAGACACCAGCCCCACACAGAGCTTCTGGGACATGATGACCATGTACAAGAGTGGGCTGCAGATGGCCACAAAGCGGTCATAGGCCATCACAGCCAGCAGGATGACCTCAGTGACTGCATAAAAACAAAACAAATAGAATTGCACCATGCATTCCAAGAAAGAAATTGCTTTGTCCTCATTTATGATGTTGTCCAGCATCTTTGGCACAATGATGGTAGAATAGCAAAAATCCACAAAAGATAAGTGGCTAAGGAAAAAGTACATGGGGGTGTGTAGTTGAGAGCTGACCTTAATCAACACAATCATGCCAAGGTTGCCCAACACTGTGACACCATAGATTAGAAGAAAAACCAGGAAGAGGAAGACTCTCAGCTCAGGGATATCTGATAATCCCAAGAGAATGAACTTTGTCACCAAAGTACAGTTTTTCTGACCAATTTCCCAATATTTTTCATGTTTAGGAAGCAAGTTAACTCTTGTTTCATTTTCCTAGAAGAGAATAAGGGTTATATATTAATGTTACAGCAATAGAATGTTGATCTGAAAAATAGTTTTTATGTGAAAATTTAAAAAAATATATACAACTGTCAAATCATTTAAAACATTAAAAGTCCTATAAATCCTACTGATAAAAAAACAAAATCATCAAGAGAAGGCTTAAATGATTCTCAGGATTTTACTACTTGATAGATTACGATGATCTCTTAAAGGAAAATGGTGGCTCTATAGAATAAACACTGGACTGCCATGCACAGTTTACAAATCTTGAAAGTTACCTATTTTATCTACATTAAAAAGCAGGCAAATACAAATTTCCCCAACTTGTCACAGAGTAGTTGGGTGAAGTGGTAATGTTAGCTATTCTATTTAAGTGGGAATTGCAATTAGGTTTTTTATTTAAAGAAAAGACATAGGAAAGTTAAGGAATTTTACTCTCTGTTCTTCCTCTTAGACTCAAATACAGATATGCCATGATAATGAAGTAAGGAAATATGAGATTAGGAATGTACATAGCCTGGAATTGTCTCTTCATATTGGACTAATTTTAAGGAGGTAGAAATGGATAGTTATACTGAAGTCATGGTTTGATCTTCTACCTTATCACCATTAAATTACATCTATCCACCCATGCATACTTACAGATAGCTCTTTGCCAACCTTTAAAGAAAAATAAATTTGGTAATGCTTCTAGTAGTGTCAAACAAGGCAGACAATATCTAACTGTTGTTGTTGTTAAGGGTCATTGAGTTGGTTCTGGCTTGTAGCCATCCTGAATAGCGTTTCCAAGTAGTGGCTGGTGGGTTTGAGCTTCTGACTTTGCAGTTAGCAGCCTAGTACTTATCCTACAGTGCCACACTAGGCTAGGTAAAGACAATCACTAGTTCAAAAGAATTATATCCTGTTCAGAGATAGCTGACGATTCTATGTATCATCATGGATAACTCTGTGGCATTAATTCAACCCTCAGAATTAGGGCGATAAATAGGGAACATCTCTGTGCTCATCATCATCACTAGAGTTAATGAAGGAAATTTGTGTAGAAGAAGGAAGTAAGGGGAAAAAAAAGGATTGAAATTTTTTTTTTTTTTTTTTGCTCTGTATTCTAATACATGTTGTTAGATGGCAGCCAGTATTCAGTGATTCAGAGTAACTATACTAATTTGCCATCAATATTTTTAGTACTAGAGATATAAGCATTTTAAATAATAAACACACAAGACAAGGGTTTCTGTGAAAATATACACTAATTAAAAGTGAGATTATTCTTAATTAAATTATAGTTTATAATTATTGCAATTAAGAGTTATCTATATAACTAAAATACTTAAACATATGTAAAACTTTTTCTTGCTCATAAAAATGTATTGTTTTTAATATTCAAGTAACTAGAGTCTAGTTCTCACAAACAAACCTGGCTGACAGACATTTCTGTCCTGGATCTGAAGATATCAAGTTGTGTACAATATACAGTTAGAGAGTTTATACTATAATTTAAACTCCTGGGACTAGGTCCTTTAAGTTCTCCAAACCATTATTGGTCTCTATGGAAAACCAAAAATAAAACTAACTACCTATAAGACACAAATGATTGTTTATCTCTATATCATATAAACTAGAAATTAATGAAACAAGCCCAATACCCTCACTTGACACACAATTGTCGAAAACCAAACATGCCTTCTAAATTTCATGGTGCTTTATGGAAAACCAATATCCCAGTATTGTATATATGAGCTACAGCTCATATTGACATTCTGCAGAAGCATGAATATTTCTTACTAATTTTTCCTTTTTCATAAATATATCCAAAATATTTTAACTGTTGTATGGCATAGCATCTAAGACACATTTAAAATAATCTAAACAATAGTAAATTCAGGCTTCAGTTTTGCTATTTATGGTTGCCTCAGTGTACTATACTCTTCAAATTTCTGTAATGTTACTTCATATCTCTTTAAAATAAAAAAATAAATAAAAAAGCAAAGATTCCACTTAGAAGACAAAAGTTGCTTAACCCAAGACATATTATCAATAACTTCAAAACCTAGACAATGAATAAGGAATCCTGGAAAATAACTGATGTTTTTGCATTGTAATGTTACCAAATAATATTGAATATGCCATGGACTGCCAGAACATTGAATAAATCCTTAGAAACAAGGATGGTGAGACTTAATCACACATACTTTGAACATGTTTTCAGAAGGGTTGTGGACCTGTAGAAGGACGTCATACTTGATGAAGAAGTGGTGGTGGTGGTTATGTGCCGTGGAGTCAGTTCTGACTCATAACAACCCCGTACATGGTCTCTGAGGCTGTAATCTTTACAGGAGCAGAAAGCCTCATCTTTCTCCTGTAGAATGGTTGGTAGTTTCGAACTGCCTACATTGAGGTTAGCACCCCAACTTGTAACCGCTATGCTACCAGAGCTGCTTTGATAAAGCAGAGGATCAGTGAAAAAAAGAATGACTTATGAGATGGATTGACACAGTGGATGAATGATGGCCTCAAACACAACAACAGTTGTGAAGATGAGGCAGTACAAGGCAGTGTTTTATTCTCTTTCACATGGTGACTCTGAATCAGCACTGAATAGATAGAACCTAACATCAACAACAACCTCATAATTAGTGTGAGGACAGGTTTGTCATCGATTGTTGTTGTTGTTAAATGCCATTGAGTTGATTCCAACCCACAGAAACCCTGTATAGAGCTTCCAAGGAGTGGCTGGTGAGTTTGAACTGCTGACCTTGAGGTTCAAACTCACTTTGCATTCCAGCGTGTTAGCCCACAGCACTACACCAGCATTCCTTGTCATAGATACACAAGGTTTAATCCAAACTGTTAAGTTTTCCTTTTTTTGTCCCATATCAGACAATCTCTTTCTATGTTATCTTCCATTCCCTGGCTGCAAAATGCTGTTATTGGTTGTTGTTGTCCTTAGATGTTCTCCAGTTGGTTCTGACTCAAAGCAATGCTATGCACAACAGAATGAACCACTGCCTGGTCATGTGCCACCCTTACAACTGGTTTTACACTTAAGTCTATTGCCGCTGTGTCAATCCCTCATAAGGGGACTTCCTCATTTTAACTGATTCTCCACTTGACTAAGCATGATGTCCCTCCTGATACCATGTTCGAATTACAAGAGATGAAGTTTCACCATCCTGGCTCGTAACGAGCATTCTGGGTGAGTACTTCTTCAAATACAGGTTTGTTCTTCTGGCAGTCCATGGTACTTTCAGTATTTTTTACAATGCCATAATTCAAATATATAAATTCTTCTATGGTCTTATTTATTCATTGTCCATATTCCGCATGTATATAAGACTATTGAAAATATCATGACTTGGGTCAAACATACCTTCATTCTCAAATTGACATCTTTGTTTGTAAACATTTTTAAGAAATTTTGTGCAACAAATTTCCCTACTACAATACATTTTTTTATTTCTTTTCTGCTGTTACCATGAGTATTAATTGTGGATCCAAGAAAATAGAGTCTTTGACAACTTCAATTTTTTATCCATTGATTGGTGGTGGTGTGCTGTGGAGCTCGTTCTGACTCATAGTGACCCTGTGTTGCTTTCTAAATTTGTAAATATTTATGGGAGAAGAAAGCCTTATCTTTCTCCCATGGAATAGCTCATAGTTTCGAGCTGTTGACCTTGAAGTTAGCAGCCTGACTTGTAACCATTATGCTACCAGAGTTCCTTTTTCTTCATTGATTGTAATGTCCCTTATCGGTACAGTTGTGGGGATTTTTGTTTTCTTTACATTGAGGTGCAGTCCAGACCGAAGGCTATATAGCCCTTGATCTTTGTCAGTAAGTATTTCAAGACCTTTTTTTCTTTTAGCAAGCAAGTTTGTAAGATCTGCAGATCATAAGTTGTTAACGATTCTTCCTGCAATAATGATGTCATGTTCTTCTTTGTATAATCCAGCTTCTTGTATTATTCCCACAACATACAGATTGAATAAGAATGCTGAAAGGATACAACCCTGGTACACACATTTCCTGATTTTAAACTATTCAGTATCCACTTGTTATGTTCAAAAGACTAGCTCTTTTTCTGTGTGGGTGGGAAATATTATCATAATCCTGTTTATTGTATTTGAGTTACCTTCCTTTGTTATTTTGTCTACTTCCTGAAGTGAGTAAAGACTTTATGATCACTCTCTTTTTCTTTGACTACTTCCTGAAGTGAGTAAAGACCTTATGTTCTCTCTTTTTCTTTGACTACTTCCCAAAGAAAGCAGAAATGTTACAATGTTGTACTTTCATTCCCAATAACACAGCTCCTGATGGTACCACTACCAAAGCATTACAAGGGTCAAAGAACAAACAAGATGGCAGAGAGGGTGAAAGTGCAGTGAGGGGCTCCATCAGTAACAACACAGAATACCAGACAAAGAAGGCTCAGGGAATGGTGACAGAACTCTGATCCACAAGGAATATTTAGAAGGTTGGAAGGTTTACAGCTAGGGCAATATGTAGCAGAAGCAAGAAATCCACTCAGCAGCTCCCGGAGCCACCATATTGGGAGAGACCAAGCAAGGGAAGGATCAGAGCAGCCATGGACATCTGACAGAACCACAGAGATAAAGATGTGGACATCCATTTTATTTTTTTGTAGCTGTTCATTCGTCTCTCTCTGTATGTACACCTCCATTCTGGTGACTAGAGGGGGTGCCTGAGCTAGTGGACACCCCACCTCAACCCCGGAGGGTTCTACTATGCATGTGCACAGAGCTCCTTAAAATTTAAAGTGACAGTTTCCATTTAAAACCAAACAGCAGTGCAAAATGGCCACAACTGACCCTGAACTGTTTATCACTAGGAAAAAGGCCTGAAAGGGTCTTGTGGAGCAGGATAGGCAGAGTAAAAAGGAAATAGGCCAAAAATTAAATCCTGAGTTATGTCACAATGACCAAAAGGGATATATTGAAATTTATCAGGAAGAAAAGTGAAAAGGGAAGCCCATCTCCTAATCACATCTACCTGGAGGCAATCAGAAAGCAAAAACACACAAAAATACACATCCGTCTAAGTATTAAGGCCAGAGATAACTCCTAAATATGCCCCCCAAAAAGAAGCAGATGACCATATCAGCACATGTCCAGAAACTAGATAAAGTGAATGAGGCAAATGAGCTGTACGTAGACCTACACTCCATACTGGAAGATAGGCAGGCTTTGGAAATGCCTGAGAAGGAATTCAGGAAAATGGTTATAAAATATATCAAAACACTATGCAATGGAGTTGAGAAAAATAAAGAAGAAGTCAGGAAAGCACTACAGGAACAATCAAATAAAATAGATATAGCATTGGAAACAATTCAAAACCTACAGAAAGAGGTCCAAATGATTAATACTAGAATATCATAAATGGACAATACACCGAAAAGTCAAAATAATTGAATTGAAGAGACAGAAGCCAGAACTAGTGAGCTAGAAGATAAATCTCTTAACACTACTAAGATAGAAGAGCAAACACAAAAAAGGATTAAAAAATCTGAAGAAAACCTAAGACTCATTTGAACAACATGAAGAGGAATAACTTAAGAATGATCAGCATTCATGAACAGGAAGAATCACACAAGTCCACAGAGGAAATATTGAAGAGCTTCTGGAAGAAAATTTCCCTAAAATCCTGAATAGTGAAAAGACAAGCATTCAAGAATCTCAACAAACCCCAGGAAGGATAGACCCTAAAAGACAATCACCAACACATATAATAATCAAGCTCTCCAAAATCAAAGATAAGGACAGAATCCTGAAAACAGCTAAGGAAAAGAGAAGTGTAATGTAGAAAGGCAAGCAAATTAGATTAAGCTCAGATCTCTCAACAGAAACCATGCAGGCAAGAAAGTAATGGGGAGACATATATAAAACCCTGAAAGAAAGAAAAAAAAAAAAAACTGCCAACAAAGAATCCTCTACCCAGCAAAGCTGTCAATTAAATATGATGGTGTGATCAAACCATTCCAGGATAAACAGAAGCTAAGGGATTTTGCCAAAGCCAACCCTGCACTGCAAAGCATCCTGAAGGAAGTTCTGTGGCCTGAGAACCAACAAGAACAGACAATAACCAGAGACTGATGTACGTGGCAGCATCACTCTGAACTCAATCAACAAATGAAGAGTCAAGAACAGAATAAAAGGATAGGAACAGAGGATCTGGGAAGGTCAGTTTATGATCAAAACAATTACAATGTGAAAGAAGGTAAACACAGAGGAACAAAGATCCATGTGGTACGAAGATCAGGTAGATTGCAGGATAAAATGGTGGTGGCCATGTGTCGTGGAGTCGGTTCCAACTCATAGCAACCCTGTACAGGGTTTCTGATGCTGTCAATCTTAACAGGAGCAGAATGCCTCATTTTTCTCCAATGGAACAAGCAGGATAAAGCAGAATGCCTTAAATGGAGAGAAGAGTTAATGGAATATAAGTTAACCACAATAGTGGGGTTGAAGTGGGGTTTCAGATAGGGTGTTGGGGAGGGCAATACAAGAAGGGCGAGGAGGCAGAAGAACAAGATAGATAGGGGAACACTGAGACATGTTTCATGGCCTTGTGGAACAAATGTAAATAGTGATGCATACTCAACCTTGGAACAACAGGGCTCTGTGATACAGGGATCTATGCATAGTTTGAAGA